GCGTTCAGGCCGTACTGGGCCACTGCCAGCAACACGTCGGCCGACAGCGGAGTCTCCTCGCTGAGCAGGCTGAGCTCCAGCCTCAACGGCAGTGCCAACGGCAGCGTCAATGGTAGCCTCAACGGCAGCCTCGGGAGCAACGGGCAGACGGCGGCGAGTCCGGGTCCCGCCCCGGGGCCCACGCCAGCACAAGGCCTGTTCGGGGCGTTCCACCACTGGGCGCTGTCGAGCCCCGCGCTGCGCCCCGGCGTGCCCACGCTGCCCCTGCCCCTGCCCGCCCTCAGCCCCGCCCACCACCACCACTCCCTGCTGCCGCGGCCGCTGCCACCGCCACCGGAGGCCATGGGCCTCGGTGGGCTCTTGGGTAGCCACCACGGCCTCGGGGCCACCAGGGTCCGCGACGCGCCGCCGCAGCACGCCGTCCAGGCGCACCAGGCGAGCTACCACCAGCACGCCTCCGACATGGAGACCCTCGTCAGCAACCTCGGCCGCTCCAAGCAGGGCCATCTGTGCATCTACTGCGGGAAGGTGTACTCTCGCAAGTACGGCCTAAAGATCCACATCAGGTGAGTACCGGATTGTGCCAAATGATAATGGATCTTGGTCCATTCCGTTTCAAAAAATAATGACATCGTTTCTTATTGCATTGCAGAACACACACAGGTTTCAAGCCTCTCAAGTGCAAATACTGTCTCCGTCCATTTGGCGACCCTAGCAACCTCAACAAGCACGTCCGCCTGCACGCTGAAGGAGACACACCATACAAGTGAGTTCCACCACCTGTATTCACTTTCGAGTGAAAGTGAATTCCCTACCCAAGGAACACCCCTCCTAACGCCTCTTTTTCTTCTCAGGTGCGACCTGTGCGGCAAGGTGCTGGTGCGGAGAAGGGACCTGGAGCGTCACGTCAAGTCGCGCCACCAGGACGGCGACTGGGACAGCAACGAGATGGACACGGACAACGACGACGCCGAGGACGACGTGGACGTCGAGGTCGACGTCGGCGAGGAGACCAAGAGCAACGACGAGGATGAGGAGAGGCCCCTGCACTGCAACGGCAGCTCGCTGAAGCAGCAGCGTGAAACGGGCGTGCGCGGTCGCGCTGGGCTGGAGGGGCGCCTCGAGGGGCGGCTTGAGGGGCGGCTCGAGGGGCGGCTGAGCGCGACGGGGGCCGACATTGCCATTCCAACCGCCTGACGGCTCGGGGCGGACCAAGTTCGACAGAGAGTCTGTGTGGTGTTCCTTCCTATAAGTCTGTCCTATTGTAAATTAGAGAGTTTTATTTTGTGTTAATCTAGTCATAAGTGATAAAATTTTTAAATTAGGAGAGAAATGAAAAGAAATTTGAATTTAAAAAGACGATTATATATATATATTTGTAGCGGGGAAAGGGCGTTGTAACAAATCCCAAGAGATTGCAAGGGTCATTTAGAAATCTAAAAGGGTACATTGTTTTTACATTCTTTCAATAAATTGCTGTAATCTGACACAGGAGCACAATATGACTAGAGTCGTGTGACCACTACTGTGTGCTCTTTTGTCAGAGGACAAGGTGATATTATCGACATAATAAACAAAACAATAAAAATGATTCAGGAATTTGTAAACATGCAAAAGATTTTTCTATACTAAGTCATATATTACACTGAATAATTTTTCCTTTTATTTGTCATTGAGAAATGCATCTTTAGGTAATTCATTAGCTTCAAACTTGTTCACAAATGCAATCAGTGCCTCCCTTACATACCAATGACTTTCTTGTAGAAATCTGAAAAAATAAAAACGGCATTGTAGCATTGAAACTTAAGTACAATGAATCTGAACTATCTATGCAGACATTCATAAGAAAACTTGCCTTGTTGCCCATTCCTTTGTAAGAGTTGTTAGTTGCATCATAATTGTAGCCATTTGATCTTTCTCTGCATCACTCAACAACTGAGCATCCTGCACCAACCAAGCAGCAACTGGAGCTGTGACTGGTGGTCGCCTGATTCTGAAAGCAGACTAACAAAAACAAAGCGCAGGTAGATAGGGAAGGGTCAACTGATTCATCCTTTTTAAAAATCAAGAAAAAATTCTGTCTCACCTCCACTTGCTCTGTTGTGAGATTTGTTAGATGAAGCTGCTCGTTAATAATCTGCCATTCATTGGGAGCTATACAACACAAGGCAAATACCCTCCTAAAACTGCGCATGTAGTTAGGATCTGGCGCTTGAGTTGGATGTTCTCGGAAAATACCCGAAACAGTTAAAACTGCAGCTTTATCCTAAAGGATAATTTACTTAAGTGAATCAATTCATTTAACACCAGTTTAAAATGAAAATTAACACAGGGTCCAACAAACTTACATTGTAATGCATGAGGTCAACACAAAATGAGTAGGCATCATGCTCAGTTGCTGGTAGCGAGCTAAAAAGTTCTAAAATTTCATCTGGGCCATGGTACACATTTTTTTCAGCTTTTGAAATATCAGACAGTTTTGCTATGTTATGGTTGTATGTATTATACCATGTTAATCTGAAAGTAGATGCATAGTAAGTCATTGATCCCAAAGGAAAATTCATGAACATAGTGTTAAAAAATATGGTACATACGAGCTACTTTCTGATGTGCTCTGCCCTGATATATGAACACATGTGAGAGTAAATAGTGCATCATTATGGTACAGGCCATCAAGACAGCGGCGATCTTTCCAATCATACCGGTCAAAAAAGTGCTTGAGAAATTGATCCACCATCTGATGTCCATCTTTAGAGCATAAGAAATTTCTCTCCTTTGGGACCCATATTGATCCTGGAAAGAGGGCTACAGAATCCTGAAAATATTATGACATAAGTTAGGAGAACTGAACTGACAAGATCAAGTTAAAAACTGGTATAGTTTTGTATTATTACATACCAGACTTCTAAGTTGGGGCATTAAAGTTTTTAATTGACTGAAAACCAAAAATATGTATTGGTAAAATCAACTAAAAAATAAATCGATACCATCCACCATAATTTAATCACATGATCCAACCTTATGTATTCATCCGGGCTCCTAAACTCAGCACAAAGAGGATTGCCATCCAAAACAACCTTGGTGACTTGAGTCAAATCTCTCAGTCCAACCAAATCATTTTGATACAGTAGCTCATTGTGAGACAAATCAAGTGTACGGAGGTATGATGCTTTCATAAGAACTTCAATTTTCAATTGACGAATACCATTATGACAAAGTCTTAATATTGAAAAGTTTATGGGCATGTTGATTGCAGTTATGAGAACATAATGCAAGGCACTTGGTTGACTCAAAGAACAATACATTGAAGAGGACAAATCTGATAACGAGAGAAATTAATCAATTACTTTAAATGAAATGGAGCAATCTTAACATGAAAAATATACAAAAATATACCTGAATCATGCTCAAAACTTGACAAGTCTAAGCAACGCTCAGATGAGTTGTATCTTTTTTCCAAAATATTTTTGAGTATACTTAAAGCGTTTAGCTTTAATTTATTTACTGGGGCACACTGAAGCATTATTCGCAGGATAAACTGAAAGAAATTAATGAGTAAGTTACTCTTGAGTTATGAAAAGTAAGAAATATTTAGGCTAGCATCAGTACCTTTTGCTTGTCAACTTCAAAAATCAATTTATTATTACGACACAGTCTCTCAATTGCAGATCCACAATTTCTAGCATAGAATACAGCTGTGTCACCTTCTTCTTGGTACTGAAAATGAACACAGTTCTATATTAAGTAAAATGAAGAAAACCATTAGAACATATGCACCATTCATCTTAAATTTTTACCATGATAGGTAAAAGAAGAGTGGGTTCACTTGACTCCAAAATTCTTTTCAATATTTTAATTCTGTTTCCTGCCACTGGTCCTGTAATCTGAATGATAAAAACAAGAAGATATGAAAACAAAGATATAGAACCTGTCAATGTGGATTTAAAAACCACCGATTTTCCAAGCTGCTAAAAACTGATAAAACTTACAATAAATTTATGCCAGTAGTCATTATCATGTAAAATGCGGTGTGATCCATGAGGCAATAGTTTGTTGTGAGTGTTCAAAGTGTCAAGTACAATAACACTTTTGACTTGTTGCTCTGGGGGCTTAGGACATTCCTTTCCCATGCCCATTTCAGTACTAAACACAGGTGTGGGAGCTTCTTCGGGAGGGTCTTTCTGAGCAGACCTTTTGGCTAGCAAGTCAAATGTTGGAAGTTGTCCCGCCGCATTTGACCGCACTAAACCTCCACTTCTCTCAGCCATTCCCCCTTCTTCAGAATACCTATTTGTCGGAGGTGTTGAATTACTTGTACTCTGAACACTATTTTCTAAGGAAATATGAGAAGTACCATTAGCGTTGGCACTGGAACTTTCTAATTGTGGCATTCTGTTCCTTTCGGCTGCCATCCTTTCTCTTCTTTCAGCCAACATTGGTGGTAACGTGATCGTACTTGATGTTCTTGTAACGTTTTGTGGTACATTTGACATGAAAGGGCCAGAAGGTGGAGGTATAGAGGTCGACATGAGTGGCACTGCTGTATTTGAGTTGGACAGCGGTGCATTAAGTAAATGGGAGTTGAATGGGGGACGGTGATTCCCTGCTGTATGCAAGGCTTGACTTAATAAGGCAGCCATGTTGGGCGATAAGCCAGGGTTGGGGTGCCATGGGTATCCAGCCATGACCAAACCCTATAATTCCTGAGACAAAAGTTGAGGAAAAATTAGTTTAATGAAACAGTACCAATTTAAATAAAAAGTTCATTCCATTGCAGTGCAATAAATGTAACAATGCGTCATACTCGACACTGCACATTCGTGAGCGTCATAGCTTACTTCAAAGAGTACAGTATCACCAAATATATATCAGGTTCTTCCTCTAAATAAAGAGGTACACAAACACCGAGGTTAGGTGCGTGTAAACAAAACTAAACCGTCCGGGGCGCGGGGGAGATCAGTCGCACTCGCAAGTGCTCACGTCTGCCACGGGGGAGTAAAAGAGACGGACATGACGTCACAAATGCTGCCCGGAGCGCGTGCGCGGGGCGGGGGCGCTCCAAATGGGCGGGGTATTCCAATTCAAAGTTAGGATTGCAATCGTTGGAAAGGTTGAAAGCAGTGAAAAATGCTCCAATGCTGTGCACCAAAGAGAAGAGAGGCATACGCAGATTGTAGATGGTATTCTGCGTATGGAGACCATTCAGAAGGATGTAATTTTTGCCCTCCCTGGATACGATTCTGCAGGTTCCCGAATCAGAAGTCTGTTCAGGACACATAATCACCTCATACAAAACAACACATTTATTTTTATTTTTCAAGTACACCTCAGAGACAATTTTTCCCTGCTGCCAAGGCTCATGGCTCATGGCCCATGCTCAATGGCGCTTAAGATGCCGAGGGCATGCATGGCCCGGCCATGTGGCATGGGACTGAATAAATTTTCCAAATTTTCTCCAGCTTGATTCCGTGTGTCCGGAGAGATGCCTCACTCACCACACCCCCATCCGTGCAGGTGCCGGGCGGTATGGCTGTGGCTGGCCCGCTTAGCGAGGGGCATAAGTGAGCGGGAAGTGGGAGCGTCGGAGGGGGTGAAGTGGGATTGGGGTGGAAGAGGGAAGGGAGAGAAGGGGTGGAAAGGGGGTGGTGGGGGGAATGCACGGCGCGTGCTCCCTCGACTGCCTCGGCTGCCTCGGCGTCTCCCTCCCAATCAATAGAGGACTGGCCGCTGCCGCGCTGCCGGGCCGGCACGGCAACCAGCCGGGCTCCACCCGCTCCGCCTAGGCTCTGCTGCGGGGCCCGGCCCGGGCCGCCTCCGGGAGGGCGGCGAGGACGCCCCCCGCCCGCCCGGGGCCCGCGGCAGGCCGTGGGGGCGCAGCGCGCGGGGCCGGTGTTTCCGGACGCAGCGCTGCTGGTGAGTGGGGGAGGGGGTAGGAGCGAGCGAGAGGGAGAGAGGGACTCTGCCGTCCTCTCCCCTCTTCCTGG